GTTTAGATTTCAAAATCTGCCATTGTTGGAGTTACATCTTGAGTCTGTATTTTATGAGTTCTGGATGCAGTAGAAGATGCTCAGAAGAAAGAAATATCTAATCATTTATTTTACAGTAACATATTGACAAAATATATTATTTATATTATGTTTTATAGTACTTATGCAGGCTATAAAAAATTCTAATCTTATTGAAGACCTTAATAATTTTTTACATTAATAACTAATATTAAAAAACCAAAGTAGGTATAACGTTACTTTTAACATTTAGTTTATAATCATTAGTAATATATGTGGTGTCCTCGTATTCATAACTTTAAATGAACAATCACTTACTTTCTTCCAGCAATAATGTTAGTATTAATCAATCCCCTAGTTCCGAAAGTAATAATCATTTTCCAAAAGTTTCTAAAAGTATAGGAATTTTAAAGAAAGTAGAAGTACAAGGTGATTTACCTCCAACTATTATTATTTCTAGAACATGGACAAATGAAATCGATTCTTTTTTATAATTAATTTCGTGGAAAACTCGTATACACATATTGAATTATTTACTAAAGCAGCTGCATTTAATGGAGTGTTCAAGGATGAATGCTAATTCGTCATTCTGACAAGAAAAAATATAAAGTTCTAGGTAAACACGCTTAAAAATATCTATCACATGCATAATCTTAATTATTGTAACAAAATTTACATATATTTTCTTTTGATCTAGGAGCCATAAAGAATTATAAAACACAAAAGACAATGATATTTTGTTTAGATAGTATAGAAGCTTCTGAACTAAATAAATTTCTCATGGCTAATGGTGTGAAGATTTTATTGGTTTATGATGAAATGCAAATTCCTTATATGGCCCTTTTAATATTGTCGCTCTTAGTGAAGTTTTTGTACAGTTGTATTTGTAGTTTAGTCATTTTTATGCAGACTGCTAATTGATACTTCAAAGGCAATTTTGATATTTTGATAGTAAGACATTGGTACGTCTAATAATACATTTATTTACAATTGTGACTAACTCTCGTAATCTTTATTGAGCTAGTTGGCATTCTTTATCAATGGTGCCAGCATGGTCTTGTTCTCGAAGAATTGAAATTTCAAATTTTTTTCTAAATTCCTGTGAAACAAGTTTTAAAATAAATTTTATGTGCAAAATGTGACAATGAAAATTCTTTACCATTGAGCTGTATCCAATAATCCTGCATTAACAAAATAAACTGGAGAGAAATATTTTAATAAGTTATTCTGCATAGGAGTTCCACTCGATAAAACTCTCATTTTAGACTTTTAAACACACGATTGCGTATGAAGTGCGTTTTGAGGCGTATCATAGGCTAATGTTTTGGTTTAACTAACATTAAAAAAAATGCATTTTACTCGATCGTCGATCTTTAAGCTTTCATGCTCTGTCATATTCGGAGGTGTGTATACAACAAGAGCATTGAGTTCATCTGGATCATAAAGAGCCTCCTAGGATCAGCAAAACGTAAACCAAGAGTTAGCCCAGAATATTCATAGCCAAGGATTAGAATTTTAAATGGTTTACCGAGCCATTTTCTACCTATGTCTTTCTACAATAGAATAAAAAATAAGAGTAATAAATTATCTTAATAAATCTTTTATACAACTAAGAAAGCAGATAATTTTACATGTTGTGATATTGTATTTTGAACAGTATTAATATCATTTTTAGTTCAACGTTCTTAATTTACACTCTGATATATATATACAGTCTTTTCTATTTGTCTTCTTTGGATTTTCTTATTGGATAATTTATTTTCCATAGTGTCTGGGCAGCAAAATTATGATAATTGGGTGCTTTCTTCTCCAAGTAAAGGGCACTTGCCAATTTTACTTAGAGGTTTTATGAGCGAATCTAAAAGAAAAATCAAATATTAAATGACGTTTTTATTTTTAATATTATTCCAGCAAAGTATTTTTATTCTTTAATTATTTGATTTTAAACATATTTTTTTATTAATAGATCAATTAGTCTAATCGATTACTTACGTATAATGAATTTTTGTTTTCGATTGCCTTGAATTTTAAATTTATGTGATATATATCAACAAGTGAAACGTGCAACAAAGCAGGACTGCAAAGATAACCCCCGAGTCTTCATGGGAAATTGTTAGCCGAAAAAGGAAAACGGCATTAATTGCTCTAATTATCCCTGATGTACGTGGTAATTTCCCATTTACGATTAATCAACGGGAAATAGGAGAAAATCGCATTTTCCGTTTACCTACTCACTAGCTGATTTCTCCTGAATTTATTATTCGACTTTTACGGTTCAGGTCTTAAAATTAAAATTATAATTTTCCACGCCATCCCCCGTATTTACATTCATGCTAAATATTATTAATTTTAAATAAAAATTCAGAATAACATTGATACCCCGAGTGGCGGGAAAACTGTTTTATTCCGTTTTTCTGTAAGACGTTTCGTGGACTAAGAAGCAGAGAGTATTATATCAATGAGTTAGTATTATACGCGGTGTATAGACTTTAGTCGGTTTGAATCTTAGAGCTACATTTTTTATTATTTGCAGTTACGCATTCTGTTCCAGCATTGACAAAAATATCTTTCAATAAATCTAGGAATTCTTGCATATTTTCACACTGGCTTAGAAGGATTATTTACTTTGCGTAAAAATCTCAGTGATTATTTGTTTTAAAATAATTTCTGTCAATAAAGCAACGTATAACAAAATTAGCATCAAATTTGATTGCAGTTTTTACTGCCTGTACTGAATCCATAGTTATATTTTGTAAGCACATATGGATGTACTCGTCACAGTTTTTGTTGTATAAAGCTATATTTAATACTTCCATTATTTCTTTTGAATCAGCGTATATAATATTTGGAAAATAAATTGTTTTCATATGTTGAAAAAGTTCTAATATAAAATAGCATACATCAAAATTATCTTCAGAACGATGATAAAATATTTGATTTGAAATAAATAAAAGTACCTAATACCTATAGCCAACTCCCCGGCTGTATTATACACGGCTACGCTGTGTATAATACACTTTGCTTCTTAGTCCACGAAACGTCTTACAGAAATACGGAATAAAACAGTTTTCCCGCTACTCGGGGCATCAATGTTATACTGAATTTTTATTTAAAATTAATAATATTTAGCATTAATGTGAATACGGGAGATGACGTGGAAAATTATAATTTTAATTTTAAGACCTGAACCGTAAAAGTCGAATAATAAATTTAGGAGAAATCAGCTAGTGAGTAGGTAAACGGAAAAATGCAATTTTCCCCTATTTCCCGTTGATTAATCGTAAATGGGAAATTACCACGTACATCAATGACAATTAGAGCAATTAATGCCGTTTTCCCTTTTTGGCTAACAATTTCCCATGAAAACCCGAGGGCTATCTTCGCAGTCCTCAACAAAGCCGAATAATTTAGCCGATGGATTGGAAACATACCTAGAAACGGTACGACTAAAGAAGAAGAACTTTTTGATTGAATGATCGGATTCTCAGCACTGCCCGTTGTCTATATCTAGTAAAATCAATATGGAACTGTAATTATTTATTCGACACACTGTTATTCCTTTCAACTATTGCTTTTTGATTTCGCTTTGTCTACTTTTCGAATCTCCCTCCATCTCCATCTTGATCTCATTGGCCGAGATCGCGCGAGTGCGACGCCGAGAACGAGTGTGACACATGCGCAGATTCTAGCCCCACTACTTTTTGCCTCAGATTTACATAGTAAAATATGTATTTTCACAGACGCTTCAAAACAACAAAACTCCCCCTTCACTGGCTTTGCCTACTACACTCCATCCTCAGACGACAGTCAATCATTTAAAATCACTCCAAAAGCATCCATCTACACAGGTGAAGCTTTAGCGATATTTATGGCTCTGAATCATATAGTTGAAAAATCATATGATGACTCAATTATCTTCTCTGACTCTCTTAGCGTTTTAAAAGCTATCAAACACTTCTCACCAATCAAACACAAAAATACCTCCCATGTAATCATCGATATCAAACTCCTTCTATATAACTTACACACCCAAAATAAAAAAATTGAACTCATTTGGATCCCCTCTCATGTACAAATATCCCACAACGATACTGTTGATAAACTAGCAAAAAAAGCCATTACAAACGGTATCTACCTCATAATATTACTTCATCACACCGAATTCCTGGAGAATATTCAAAAGCAACACAAAGAACAATTTAACTCAGCCATCTCTTCACAAAGCACTTACAAAGGCACATACTATTTTCAAAACTTCTACTCTTCTTCCTCCTCGAAACCATGGTTCAGAAAATTTAATTATCAAAGAAAATATATCACGACAGTCAACAGACTGAGAAGTAATCATTACTCCTTAGCCGCTAGTCTCTTCAGAAAAAAATTTGTCAAATCAGCCTCATGCGATTGCGGCCACGACTACCAAGACATAAATCATATTGTTTGGGACTGTGTAAACCACACAACCCAAAGAAATATTTTCAAAAGAAAACTTAAAAGATACACAGAAAAAAGAAAACTACCACAAGTTAAAACTACTGAAGAAATACTTAAAAACCCCACCAACACTCCAGCAACTTTACTCCTAGAATTTCTTAATAAATGTCAACTATCTATTTAAAACAAATTACTAACAATGCTAATAATTCTACTCACCATCCTAGATACCAATTCTATGTCACCAATAAATCACCATACCAAGTACATACACTATAATTAATTAAATATATATTGAATAATTACTCTCACATTTAAATTTATAACTTTCGATCACGCATGCGAATTGGCTTATCGGCGTCTCAGTGAGAGACCCACCGCCATCTAGTAAAGTAAAGTAAAGTAGCCCCACTACCCGCAGCATGTCGCGTGCCGTATGGTTGTCTGGTGAAATATTTTTGGGTCCCTAGATGCGTACGTGATACCGCACACTGTGCACTATTGCTATATGAAGTTGCCTGGAAAACAAAAATAAATGGCGCGCAGCGGTGGTCTTTAAAGACGCGGCGTAACCTATCCTTCGATTCACCATGGATTTGTATAAATCAAAACATTGGATTAGTATCATGAATCGCGTGGGACGGCACAGGCAACAGCAACAGCACATGGTGTCTCTCTTTGGTGAATGTGGTTTGTAATAAAAACACAAATACCTATTAATGTTAGTTAGACGAGAAGGATGCCTGGTTCAATTACCAAAGAGCTGAGCAGCGTTAAAGATGCTCCGTGTTCGAGTTCCACGCTCAACAGCAGTCACCACGAAGAAAGTAATCCTGAACAAAATACGTGTAATGGGTATACCACACCTCAACAATCTGTTGAACACAGACACATTGATAACTCCATTTTCAACACCATCTCAAAAATAGTAAATCGCACTGCCAAGGTAAACTTCAATGTCTACTTTTGGACTTTTCTTTTATATGAATGGATGGAAATCCTTGCTTTTTTTTTTATTTATTAATTTTCTAATTGATGGATCATTTAGGTTCCAGAGATACAAGATTTCAAAATTGTCAAGCCAATAAGTCGAGGAGCATTTGGAAAAGTTTTTCTAGGCTATAAGAAGACAAATCCAGACAAGATTTATGCGATTAAAGTTATGAAGAAGAATGAAATGATACATAAAAATATGGCCTCTCAAGTAATCATTGAGAGAAATGCACTTGCCTTAGTTAGAAGTCCTTACTGCGTTCAGCTCTTTTATTCTTTACAGTCAGTTACCAGTGTTTACTTGGTAATGGAGTACATGGTTGGAGGTGATTTAAAGAGTTTACTAGGTGTACATGGATTTATGGAAGAGTCTATGGCTGCATTTTACACAGCTGAAGTGAGTTTGGCCCTGGAATATCTCCACTCGCATGGGATTGTACATCGAGACCTCAAACCTGACAACATGCTTCTTTCTAAGGAGGGCCACGTGAAGCTCACAGACTTTGGTTTGAGCAAAATTACCACCATGCATCGTGATCTCGAGATTTCAGATTTAGTAAACCACACTCCCAGTTTATGTGCTCGAACGCCAGGTCAGCTCCTTTCTCTGACTTCTCATTTAACCTTTGACTCTCTTGGATTAAAGTCAATGGGATTGAGTAGTGACTCTCTCTTTATCAACTCCAGTGACACAAGTAACCCTGCGACTGATTTATTACCTGAACTACAGTCGAGAGCACATCATCACAACAGTTCCCCAAGTTTACTTGTCTCACCAGCAGGAGCAAGTCAGATTACCTCAGGTGACTATTCTCGCGTATCAGGTGTAACTCCATTTCAATCGGCCGAGGACATTCGAATTTCAGCCTTTCCAAGCGAAAACTCTACGACTAACAGCAGTTATCACACGTGCGAAGCATCATCATCTGCAACGTCCGTCGTTTCTTCGACATCGGAAATGAATAATAGCATCAACAATAATAACAACAACAACAACAACAACAACAACAATAACAATATCAACAGTAACAATAACAACAATGCCGACGAAGAAGAAGAATCGACTTTGGAAGCTGAATACTCGTCGCAGCAGCCGTTACCGCATCACACTAGTCCATTAAGTTCCGGTACGAGTATCTTGGCTAGAGGTACCAAGAGAAAAAGAAAAAATAAAATGATGAAAGATCAGCACCAGACTGGCCTAACAAGAGAGATTTGTCTCATGGGCTTGGGTACTAGTGATGGCGGGGATTTGACAACGCCAAAGAAGAAGAATCGAATTTTAACTTACCAATGTACAAGCCCACCCGCGTCTATTGTGACAACGTTCAGTCGAAATATTAAGGAAGCTGGCGGTGGCGCTGTAAAGACAGAAGGCAACAGCGGATCGGTAAGGGTTGCTTTTAGTACGCCAGTCTCATCAACGAAACAGCAGCGATCCCGATCCGGTGAGGCAAAACCTACGCTATTAAAATCCACGAGGTTTGATCTACCTTCTGCGGGTGCAACGACACCGCGCGATATTAGCGATACGGCTGTTCAGCAAAGATCGCCTCAAGAAATTTCGCCAATTAAAACTCCTTCTGCTTCAGCAGCGAATAATTATACACCTTATAGAACTCCGAAATCGGTCAGACGAGGAGCTGTCCAAGCGGGTATCAATCGCTCTGATGACCGAATCCTCGGGACACCAGATTATTTGGCTCCGGAGCTCTTGCTTCGACAAGGTGACGTACATCTTTTTCAGTTCATGTGATAATATTTGAAACGAATAACATGAATCTAACAAACAGGTCACGGCCCAGCCGTAGATTGGTGGGCGTTGGGCGTCTGTCTTTATGAGTTTTGCACGGGTATACCGCCGTTCAATGACGATACTCCTCAAGCGGTATTTGCAAATATATTGGCGAGGGACTTGCCGTGGCCGGAAGGCGAAGAATGTCTGACTGCCAATGCAATGGAAGCTATTGATTCTCTACTCACTCTTGATCAAAATTTACGACCTTCAGCCAAGGAAGTGCGAACTATGAGACTCTTTCAAGAATTTCCTTGGGATGATCCACAAAAGGCTGTCCCACCGTTCGTACCACAACCCGATGATAATTATGATACTTGTTATTTTCAAGGTAGGTCTGTAATAAAAAAAACAATACAATTTATTGTCTTTTAAAATCACAAAGCATCAAAGCGAAATTCATTAATTAGATATGAGTTTATACAAAGTGACGTGTAAGTATTAATAATGTTTTTTTTTTTGTAGCGCGCAATATTTTACAGCATCTCAATGTTAGCAGCTGTGACACATGACTGTCGGCTCATCGATGGACCTATTGTTTTATCTAAAGTAATTGTACATTTGTGTAATATGGGCTTTCAAATATTACACATACCAGCGAAACTATAGAGGATAAAGTAGCGGGTAAAAATAGAAAATTACGTCGTACCTACGAATGAAGGTAATGAAACGCGAAAAAAGTCGACATTAGTGTGATTGGAATTCATTGAAATAATGTAACAATTAATATATGTGTATGTCAATATAAAATAATCGTAAAATACGGGAATTCAAACGTCACACGTACACGTAAGCTCGAGTTCAGGTTAACATCGAATCCGTGGCGACTGTGACGGTAATTTAACAAGTGTTGCTCTGTTAATCATTGTAACTATTGTATTATTACTGTCATTCAACATTTATCTCTCGTCAAATTCAAAGAGTAATAATCTAGATTGCTGTGTGCAACGTCATACTTTGGATTGTAAATAGTATATGACTAAAACTTATTTTATTGAATCTGGTGCTGGAACGCCTAAATACTTTTATAAGGCACACTGTCGTTTAATTTGATTTACACGCTGTAAAGTATTGGGCGTTTCATTCATTTTCTATTACATATAAAAGGTCTGTGTACTTGTACTTCCAGTTCAAAAAGTTTTTCTGCTTAGTAATATCAAAATACGATCAAAATTTTTCTTGGTATATAATTCAGAAAAGAAGAAAGCATTTTCTCTGAAAGATTTGATTTTATTCAGTGGACTTTCTCTGTATCGTCGGACTCCGTCCATTGCGTGTAAAGCTAATCTAATTCATAGACGGATATAATAATCTAATATGTAGTGTAAGTTTAAGAAAATTATAGCTGAATCCTTTGGGACAGTAATTAATAATTAATACCTTATTTGTATAAGCCGCAGTTCGATTATGAATCTGTAAATATTTTATACATTGCCAAATTAAACTCCTGCATTTTTATAACATGTGTATTCCATACCTGAAAAAGAGAGAGAGAGAAAGGAGGGGAGAGACAGAGACATAGAGAGAGAGAGAGAGAGAGAGAGAGAGAGAGAGAGAGAGAGAGAGAGAGAGAGAGAGAGAGAGAGAGAAAATAAACAACAAACAAAATGAAATGCTCGTTAGATTTCGAATAGTGCAGTTTTTTCAAATTTATATTTTTGAATTAGCTATAGTACATTCGCAAGAATTGATGTTGCGTAAATGCTACATTATACACCGGAACTGTTGTTTAAGCATTTGAAATTGATTCGTTATAGAGGTGGATTACTTGAGATTTTTGTAGATCCAGGGCAGAAAGTGTGTGACCCGTGTGTACACTCCCGGGTACTGACCTTTACCACAACCGATTCCCCAGCTAACTATACCAACTTGTGTCCAACGACCATCGTTTACCATCAAAGGGCCACCGCTGTCACCCTATACTCGCAAAATGATTTAATAACATTGTTCAATCATTTGCATGATTTCAAACGTAGAGGATGCATGAACGTACGGAGCAAGAGTCCCTCGCGGCCTCTCCCGCGCAAAGGAAGCTGTCGACTATTCCGCCTGGTGCTGCACCTCCGTACTTCTGCTTACAGACAGTGTTGGACCAAATTGGAATGGTCACTTGTTGCAGTTTGCCCGGCGCTGGGCCACCTGCGTCACGATACAACAGGATAGCAATAGTAACGATAAAGCAAACACGCGCTGCTCACCCTCTCTGAGAGAGCCCCAACCGATGACGGTAGCCTTATTGCCAACATAGAGATTAGCGCCCGAAGGTAGGCACACTGGCCTGATCGTTTCGGTGAATTCGACCGGTTCGTTGAGGGTGAGAATGGCCACGTCGTTATAAAGTGTGCGCATATCGAAGCCTCGGTGACGAACCACTCGCTTGACTCGTTTCTCAACGTGGCGCACCTCGTGCGGAGTCTTAATGTCGTAGTCGCCGAGTCTCACCGTCAGACGGGCCACGTCCCAAGAGTTCATCCTGAAAGTGCCACATGCGGCATTGATACCTGTACCCGCTTAAAGCATGACTCGCGGGGCTCCGACTTACTGAGCGACGCAGTGGGCGGCGGTAAGGATGTGCGTATCGTCGATGAGCGAACCTCCGCAGATGTGCCTGCCAGCGTTGAAGAGCCCCGCGATCCAGGGCCACTCGCCTTGCTGTGTGGTCACGCCACCGACGATTCTGCCGTCGTCGAGGGGGGCGGCTTGGTTGCCGTTTTTGGCGCCGCAAGCGCCAGCACTAAACGCCGGCGGCACGTGCTGCGTGCTGCTGGTTGTAGCTGGAGCCGCGGGCACAGGCGGGCGAGTGGGGTAGACGCCGCCGGGTTTCTTGGTCGGCCAGGTGGTGGCTAGAGGACGCTGAGTGGTGGGCAGGGTCGGTAGTTTGCTCGGCTTCGAGGGCTCGACAGCGGGCGCGTGCGTCGGTAGCGGCGGGATGGTATGGTGTGGCGGGTGAGTCGGCAGCGGCGGCGGCCAGCCTCCGCTCTCTCCCGCGGGTAGCCGACCGCCATCTGCTGCTTGTCCTTTGTCCTGTGACATTAAGCACGACACAACACCAGTCGGCAATCCAGTGGCAATTTGCATGTGCACCGATAAAATAAGAGATAGCAATGTATCGCGTGGCTTACGGGAAAATCATCGGATGCTGCCTCAGTTAGCGGGCCGCCGACTTCATCAGCAGGCTGATTATCGGTTGGCAAAATTGGTGGATCGGCGCAGCAAATGCCGAAGCTCGATCGTCCGTCTTCTTGTGTGTAGCTACAGGTATCGTAGATACCAAGAACCCATCCGTCGAGGGCTCCCAGGTCAGGTATCTTAAAGTATGGGTAGCATTCTTTGAATGTCGTACATTTGCCTACGGCGCCTTTCGAGGTAAGACACGGGCCTGCGCGTTGGTTGACAATTTGACGACCTTGCCGCGACGGAATTCGATCGCCTGCTGCAAGAGCTGTAAAGTCAGTCAGCGCATTTATGGATCTCTTAATTATCTGCCATTTAACATTGAGTTGTTATTATACTCTAAGGTGCCGCTGGATATTTTCACTCGAAGCTTAATGGTGCCGCAATCTACCGTAAAAGACAAAGAAAGCCTAATGCCACCGTTCATTTATACATCGGTTGTATCGGTTGTTTGTTTCTTGTGTTAAAGTGCGAGTAATTAGATGAACGAAAAACCTGAAATGCGTATATTTATAATACAAAATTATTGTTGCAAGATGACTTATTATTCGTTACACGCTACTTTATGAAAATAATAAGTGCGAATTTGGTTGAAGGCGAGCTTTTGTTTGCTTTTATTATCATGCAAAGTGGGTAACAGGCAGCCTGTCGTCGAATAAATATGTCGTAGACTTTCTTATTCTTCAAGAGTACCACTCGTGACTTCATTGCTATTCTACTATTAATAGAAATCGGAAGTAACTGTAACACATCTTTTTTTCAAATTATCATGAATACATTTCTGTATTTATTTATTTAACGAACTTTTCGACAATGAATCGTGAGCAAAATATAAGATAATGAGGAAGAATAAAGTACCATCAATGACGACTGTGTCATCCTCGGCATTACTGCCGTTGTAGACTATCACAAGCAGAAAAAAAGTCCCAATCTTTAGTATCGCGATTTTCTCCATGTCGACGGCTGTACAAATTGTTCCCTTTCTCTGCAGTCACTGCTTAATTCGAACAAAACCGATAAGATCAATCTTTCAAAATTGCACTGGCTTTTTCAAAGTACTACACAGTATCACTGACAGAGTATCACTGACAATCAATTTACAAATTAAATTATTGAAATCACTTGTAAATATTCGTATAATGATAGACAAAGTTTTGTGTGTGTGTGTGTGTGTGTGTGTGTGTGTGTGTGTGTGTGTGTGTGTGTGCCTGTGTGTGTGTGTGTGTGCGTACGCGCGCGCGCGTATGTGAACGTGTGTATGGCAGAAGATTGCTAGAACGGGAATGCTGCCGAGGTCGTTACTGGCCGGCGTGTGCGCGTGTGCTAAGCCGCCGAATACGCGACTTGGCAGCTTTATAACGGGCTTGCCCTTCCCTCCCGTTGACTATTGCTCATCTTCTTCTTCGCTATATCTCTGGGGTCTCTGAAACTTCTCTTTCTCTTTCATAAACTTGCATTCGTTTTCGTGATGTACATTCTTAGAACTTGTATTGACACGTATAATTAAGTGAATAATAAATTTAACAAGTATTTAGTCGTTGCTTACTTATACATCAATATGTATTTTTCGAGGCTGATTGAGAAATGCAGAAGATTATTCAACTCTAATGTTTTCGTGAATATTTTGATCCTAAAATGATGCGTCAGTTTGCCAATACTCGATACGAATTATTTTATAATAAAAGTTTAATCCGGATACTTTTCTCTTTACCGATTAACGTATAAGCTTTATATGCTATTTTTTGCGACCGAGATGATGCCATAGCTGCCTTGTTGAGGTATGAATATGCATGTTAATTGTACCATTATAATACTATCTTGCTTGATTTCTATCAATTGTTTGTTTTATTTTAAACGAATTCTTAAAAGTTTCTGTTACAAAATTTTTTTTACAATTAATTCTTTAATCAACCAGGGAAATATTTAAATCGAAGATTGCCAGGAAATTGCTGCGATTGCCGTTGGCCATTCGCGGCTGAGGTTATTAACACGAGAGCAAAAGAGAGCGAGAGCGAGAGAGAGAGAGAGAGCCTATTGGCCTTGGGTTAACTGCAGAGGCTGCGTCCATGAACTTGCCTGTGAAAGAATTGCACGATGCAGTAGTAGCCGTTGAAAACGCAGCCCTAGCGATCTTTCTACATAAGCAATGATGCAAATTGAAATGTGTAGCGATTTTCGCGATCATCACAGGTTTCTTTGTAATTTGTTTTAATTTCATAACATTCGAATTTTAAAATATTTAAACACACATACGTCCGATTTTTCTGCTCACCCAAGAATATTTTTGTGAAATTCCGTATATTTGGATTTTTCTTTATTTTCAAGACTATCCAATGTATAACGAATTTATAAAACGTTAGATTTTTAATAATTATTTCATGCCATAAGCACGTTTAATTTAAAATTAAAAAAAAACATAATTCATTGAAATGAAACAATGGTTGATTTGCACGACGATCTTAGTTATAATAGACTTTCACATATTTAAATATGTGCTATAAGTAAGTCTACTCATATAGAGGACATTTTATTAAATTCTGAACATTTCGCGCAGATATAACTTTGCAGATACAATCTAATAATGTTGCTTTATTTAACTATTTGAAAAAGTTCTTATGAAATTCGAAGTATCCTTTGTAGAATGTATTTTGAGTATTTGAGCGCTACAACCAGAGTTTCTTGACCGACGAGCCAGCGAGTTAATCTTTATTTCTTTACATGTTTACTTTTTTTATGACGCTAAAAGAATCAGATGGTCGATAAAAAAAGTCACGTTTAGATGACCTGCCAAACCGGATTTTAAGTATTTTTCACCACTTTTTTCAGTACACTTTTACCTTCGCAAATATTGCTGATGTGTGTGTGTGTGTGTTTATATACACCAAGATGCCACAGCAGCGAACTTATTTGTTGCATTTTTTGCTGTGAAAACTTGAACTACAAGAACTAGTACTGTATTAATTAAAAGAGGAAATCATTAACTTTATAATTTTACATGTATATATACTGAATTAAACTATCGTAGGCATCGTTAAATTTTCAATAAATATACATGATGATCCGTGCGATAGACTTCAAAAACTATCAAAGTATATAAATGAAATTTTCTTTTCAAGTCGTTTGACTTATCGTTTCTTTTACTTGTATGCATCAATCATTGTCAAACAGAAAGTTTCAGCAGGTCAAAGACCATTCTAATTATACAGTGTATATAAAAATGCGTCATATTACTAAGAATTATGAGCAATCGAGAAAAAAACTAGGATTTACCGTTTCACAAATACGATGGCATCCATGGTCAAATCTGAAACTCATTAGATCTCTATGTGTCAGTGAACTTTCAATTATAGAATCAAGTTGTTAGAATCAAAAGCTCGACCGAATGGAATATATTATATAGATAGTGTAAGACCATTTTCTTAATGCCCGCACTAACGTGTATGTGCTTAATCTCTTTTAATTTTGTCGTCTATATTAAAACAATTCCATTGTGTAAATTTCTCAGTTCCATTTGCAATTGTCTATACAATTAATGTAGAGTTTTTGAAATAAATAGTAATATCTATCTACTATAATATATTATGTGTTTTTATTTGTTGTACAATTTACAAATGGTGATAAATTATATTAACCAGTATACTAACAACCTACAAAAGCGAAAATTTCGTTTTTTTGTAGGAAATGTGTGACACAAGTATACGATGTACATACATTATTGTGAAACACCTAAGAGCTTTCTATATATAACCTCAATCTAGAAAAACTTGATAATTTATAACATATATTAGTTATACATTTTAAGACATTCATTCTTTATGAAAAAGCTGTTGTATGTTCTTTACTAAACATTTTTTATTTTTCGTTTGACAATGTTTCTGTTGTCAAATATAAAACTCAAAGTTCTCTAGGTATAAATTCATTGAAAATTTTAATAGTAATAAACAACATAACCAGTGCTTGTATACATAGTTTTTTTTTAATAAGATACACACACTTTGGACTCTAATGTTAATTTCTGTTACAGCTATATATTATATTGTGAACTTTGTTCATCTTAATGATAACATATAAGGATTCAAGTGCACAATATAATTCAGTCGCCGTAGATAATTTCCAATTATAAATTTCTTTTCACTAATTATATTTGTAGATAAGTTTGTTTTGTAAGTTTTGAAGTAGATATAAAATACCTATTCCGGCATAGTCATGACAGCACTTCCTCATACCTGAAAACCGTAATTTATAATTTTACAAAAATGGAGACCAATAAATTTATGCAATTTATATATAGCATTACACATTCATACTAGTGATTTTTACTAATTTATAAAAAATAAGTACTAAATACTTAGTTTTACTAACGTAATGAACGTATAGTTAATATGACCACTATGGCGACAAAAATAATTCAAAAGTCTTTCGAATCAACATCTCATTTCGAAAGAGTACATGCACTAAAATATTTCCATTAGGTTCATTTAATAATTACCTACTCCTTTAAAAATGAAATTTTCTTTATATTACTAAGAAAAGTATCTTACGATAATACAAGATGTATGTTTAACGATGCAATAGCCTAATAAAAAAAGACAAAACTAATACGAGTCCATAATCAAGCAAAAAGGTCTTTCTTAATCTCTTCAGTCCCCCTTTGGATAGTGGTCGATTTTCTTGATACGACGTAGCCGCTAGTTCGTAGAATCTTGGTAAGATCCACACAGGTAAAAAAGGAGCATCATCAATGAAACAGGTTTTTGCGGTGAGAAAAAGTATCGGTAGCAAGCTTCTTTTGCAAAACCTATAAGCATGGCGCATACGAGGTATGTAGGAAAAGTTGTCTCCAGTAGTTAATAGAAAATCAGCTGTGTTTAAATAATGGTATGCATGGACTTTGGGTTTGTTATTATCGACAACAGTGCGCGGTTCAATGGCAACTCTTTAACGAGTCTAATAATTTTCTTTTTTTCTCGAATAATGTCAAATAAGACACTGTTCAGCGGATAGCGGTAGTCTACTGACATATTGGGATAGCATCAATGAATCTATTTAACCCGACTCGTAATAAATAAGTCGAGCCATAGCTAACGTGGCCTATCGGAATATGCTTTATCAATTCATTAATAAGGTTTGGTTGTTGTGCAAAATGAACAAAGGTAGGGATGGGGGATCTGTGACAGTTCGCAACGAAATAAAGGCGTATAATTTATAAAACGTACTAATATAATATTTATTGTTTTGATAAACATTGTAATAATATAATATCACCTCTGGCACAATCTCAGCACGATGGCAAGACGTCGCGCGATGTAACATTTGACACAAAATTTTCTCATGACTTCCGTGTATCAAAATATGCACAATATTTTCTAACAGAATATATAAGATGTAACAAAATGCCGACGAGCATATGAATTTTCTTCTTTTTATGCAACTCCAAGAAGATCATCGGGAAAAACTGATATTTCGATAGGGAAGCATTAAAAGAACCAATTGTGCGTATCATGCACTTACAATGATTGTAACAATATACAAACAGACCTAGAAATGATAAAATCGCAAGGACGACGTTAAAAAAAGAAAAAAAAACATTTGACGAGGAGTAATTTGTGATTTCCGGCCTTTATTCTCCTCAAAGTTCAGACTTGGGACATTGCATTTTCGCAGCTCGTCAATATACAATAAATTTTGTTTTTACAATAATCTTTATTTTTACAAAATGTAATTGTTTCCCTTTATCGTTAAAGCTTATACTCCAAGAGCCGAAATATACAATACAATCATTATGGTTCTCTTCGAGATCGGTTTAAGTACGCAATGTAACAACAAACTAATGTACATATCTTTCTTCCTTTCGCTCATCCCTGATGCAGAGTACATACTTTGCGACAATGTAAAAACGCTCGAGGCAATTATGAGTCTGTGGAAGCCAATTCAATAAACTTGATGATTTCATAATCTCCAGTTAATTAGTTAAACATGAGATGTTCGATAGCTTCGTATGCACGTAAAAAATTATCTCGATTACGATAAAGGTTATAAAACTTGATGTTCTTCGGTATGAAAAACTATCAAAGACTTTGTTTACAATTGATACGCGTACAGAAATAGCGCCTTTTCTGACCCTTATAATGCCTCATTCAAGGTGGCCAGTAGCTGCATTCCCTCTTGTCGAAGAACGACCTTTCTTTATTGACAATCGATAGCGATAGAAGTAGAAGATAAAAAGTTTAATGAGAAGTTCTACATGGCATACGTAAAAAACTGTCATGGATCAACGTAAACAATCTAAATTCGCTCATTCATGCAATATTGTGGCTAAATGTCTAATTTCATTCGCGCATGCATGCTTAGTATTTATTTTTTTTTTAACACTCTTTCATAGTTTCGCAAGTACATAAAGTAGATAACAATATTCGCTCTTACGCAATTTCTTTCTTCTTCAAATTCATATACTCAATATCATAATATTAAAAACTATAATAAATGTAACAAGATATAGTACTCAATAAAATAATTTGCATTTCACAAGCATTATTTTGATCGTTGCTTTGATACATGCTTTCGTAAAGCATGAACGAAAAAAATGGTGGTTGTGATGACAACCGTATTTAACAAGTGTCGCGATTGCAAGAAAATATTAACAAAATGGTCTCGGGCACGATGTGCATTTTAATTATTGTTTCAAGTAAAGAAAAGCATACATCGAGAATGAAAGAGAAAAGCAATATTTCCAAAGCAGCGTTTCAAAAATTGCACGCGTTGCGTTATAACTTCGAGTTACACTCAGAAGCAATGCGCTCCTACGAAAAAAAGAAAGAAAAAACAATTTTATTTGCATAACCACGTCTAAACTTAAGTGAACGTATCTCACTATGTTTATAAGTCACAACGCCGCGAATAACGTTTATTTTTGTTTCTAAATAGTGCACGCGGCGTTATAAAAGTAGCAATAAATCTGCGTTTTGACTGCTTTTTAATTAGCGCATTTGAGTAATATGCCCTGCAGGTGTATATGTAAGTATAATAAAGATGAATATTGTACGAACCATCCAGGGTGATTACTCACACATTGAACGCGCATAATAGCATAACCATAATAAAACATACAACATAAACATACAAAGAAATAATTGAAATAATTACGCAGTCATATAAGACATTTTGATTGATTCTAAGGCTGTACAGAGCCTTTGAGACTTGAATTATATTTATAATAATAATCTTAATAATAATATTAATAATAATAATGTTATGTTAACAAAATAAACACGGTACCATAAATCAAAAAAGAAATGGTCTTCTTAGTCATAACGGAAAGTTGTGACGTTGCTGTAGTCTTGTCAGATTAACAAATACGCCTCTCAGGTAATTGCAAGCTCTCACGATCAATTCAAAAGCTCATGAACGGAGGATCGATTTCATTAGCAAAACGCTCTAGGTCAACATGAAACACTCAAATTGCTCGACTAATTCGTAATAATATATTTGTCATTGTTATTCCTCTTGTCAATTGGCCAAATAAATCGGTAAGTGTAACGTCAAGTAGGCTGCTGCTCACGTTGTGGCTACGTGATGCTGTAAAACTTGCGTATGGTGGGGCGAGGTAGACGTCATAGTTTGTTGAGAGTTGATCGGCAACTCGATAAGAGTCACGTCGTAACCCGCGGCCTCTAGCGTATCAGTTGGGTCGGATGGCGATCCGCCATTGCGACCAGTACGCTCTTGTTGTTGTTCCGCTGATAATCGCGAATGCGTTACTTCCAACAGGAAAAGATCCTCGTCAACGTAATAGCGGATCATGTCGTCGTCAATTTTCGCTGTAATTCTGCGGATGAAAGAGTTTTTGTGATTTCACATGTCGATACAGTTTCTCTTTATATCACAAGCAATGCAAACAGATGATAATAGATCGGTAAATAAATATATTTGATTGACAGAGACACGGACAGACGAGTCAAAAGTACGTGCAGGAATGCCGCAACTTGATTTTAAAGCCCACATTCACAAATGTTATTATTAAAGATACCTGCTGCACAGCTCGACGAGTAAACGAAATAATGTGGTCATCGCTTCTCCAATCAATTGCAAGAGTTTCAAGAATATTTCCAAATTTATCACGTCAAAGTTAAAATTACGAGAATTAATCACAGAATGATTAGTTTATGGCGCGACTTATGTTATTATAGGATGGTGTTCATCAGTGAGCTAGATGTAAAAACACGAGCTTAAAAGAAGCATTGAAAAATTACGAAGAAATTTGTTCGTAGGGCCACAAGAAAATGTGGGTTAAATGAGCATGCAATAATATTAAAGGCGAACACGCGTAGCAAAGATAACTCTTTGCTAAACTTACCCTTTAGTGTTTTTTCGATAGAGGTTATTAATACTCGAAGATGCAATTTTGTACTTTGACTCAATCTGTAAAATAGAAAAAAGTAGAATATTAGAATTTTGACAGACTTTCATGGTTCTTCTGTCCTATCAATTTTCAATGAAAGATTAAAGATGACAGTTTAAGAAAAATTATTTGAAAGGTTATAGAGAAACAAAAAGGAAATGCTTTCCACTTTTTTCTGAGACCAATATATGCTCCATGTGCCATGAATGAGAAATCAAGCTGCAATAACTTGATCAAGTTGGCAATGTTCGCGGTTGATTAGTTTAGAACGAGCTTATTAGTGATAATTAATAAACGTACGATATGGTGGTTTAATAATGGGTTATTATTACTGAAGCGCTACAGTGTTTATAGCCGAGACGCAAGTGGATAAATAAAAATTGTATACATACATAATGTATATGAAAAATAACCAGCTGTGTTGCAACGTTTAAAAATGTTAATTTCATGACAATATGTTAATTTGATTAAGACAAAAGCTGTAAAAAATCATAAAGGAAATTACCTAATTTGTATTGCGTTGGAAGATCTGAAGAATACATCAGACGCCGATATATGGCCCTGAAGTTCCCTGTGCACAGCGTATATTAAGTAGTTTCCTTTATGACTTTGTATAAACACTTGATATAATGACACATTACAAAAATCATACAAAGTCTCGGATTAGAATGGTATCGAAAATAGGAAGTAGAAGATGACAGAACTGTCAAGTACCTGTTGGGGGAATAGTGGATCGGTGGCCAGTTGAGTTGAGGGATCGAAGGAAGGACAGTTTAGTATGAAGCGATCGACGGGACGGATACTTACGGCATTGAGGAGTCCTTGAACGGACGGTGGCGTGACGTGTAACGGCGTGTAGACATCCTCCGACTCTTGCCTGACATAGAGCATGACCCGATCTTCGGCGTCGGTGCCGCGCATGTGCGGTTGCATATGCAACCTATTGCCAAGCGTGCCGCCAGCATTGGCGGCAGCGACAAGTTGCGAGCTCGTCAATATTTGAGGTTGCACGCTCTGCAGCACCGAGCCTTGTAGCTCCTGCACCTGCATCAAAAGAGCGTCCTTCTTGTCGTGTATTGAGTGCGTCAAATTCGGGTCGGGAGGAAAGTGATTGTGGAACTTGAGCGCGGGTAAAGTGGCACGACTTGGTGCGTAGGGGCTACTTGCACCTTTCAAGCCACCGACTTCGCCGTTACTCAAACTTGAGCTGTCCGTCTCGCCGCCGCCGCCGCCTCCTCCTCCTCCTCCGCCACCCGCTCCACCGCCGCCTCCCCCGTAGAAGCCCGACAATTCCATCGTTGAGAACTAGCAAACATGTTTGTTGTTTCTCTCTTTATCTACTTGTTCTTTTTTAAACGACGATCAAATAATTGCCACTAACTACATTTTTGCAAATTTCTTACGCGCATATGCGCGACAACATTGATCGATCGATAGACATATTCAAATCAAAGTTATTCGTTATGTATAACGTGTTAAACGTAAGTTATGTAGAGGAGTTGCGGTTAGTGGAGCGTTTTGGTGCGGAGAGCAGGACAACGTGAATTCTACATACGTATTTCTTGCATTGTTTTGTTTTCTTCAAGCGGCGATCCTAATCGCAACTTCACTACGAGCAGCGTACATGAAAATGCACACATACGTTATAGTGAAATACGTATTATTTTTCGTAACATTGCAGAAAAGACATTTGGAAAATTCTCGCATGAACTGTATCCTGCACCCGAACCACTGGTGGGTCAGGCTGATAATTACCTTGTCTATAGTGTGTTCGGCCGGCGGTGAAAAAAGTACCGGTGGTTTATGTAGATCTGCCATTGTATAGAATTCGCTTCTCTCTGTGACGGAATGGTAAAGCTCATCCAACTTTTTACGTCCCGTTGCTGTCATCTTTCTCTTTGCCGCTCTCCTCTCTTCGTCGCGTGTTTTCCTCTCGGCTCCCTAAATATTCCAAATTCAACCAATATTACTATTTAATATATGGAACCTAATGTGATACCGATTTTTAAATTACACTTCGAAATATTCGTCATCAAGAAAATAAGTGTTTTCAGAGTTCCTTCTTTCTTCTTTGTTTGAACAATTGAACTCCGAATGACAACGACCTCGAAAATATTCTTATCGACTCTCTATATTCGTCGTCAATGTCATTTAAAAGCACATACATATACGATTTCCTGAATCTATCTTGGTTGTATTATTGTAATGATGAATTATTCCATACCTTATCGCAGAACACTTTGATTTGGCAGTAACCCCGATGATTTGGTGGCGTGTAAACGTGAGTGTGAGTTGGTGGTTCCTCATACGTGTCGATTTGCAAATGCAAAGGTAATCCCTTGACGCCCTTTTGACTGGAAAAGTCAGTGCTGAGACATTGTACGGCCACATTGATCTGAAAAATAAGACAGGTGAGAAAAGGGCTAGAAATAAAAGTTGCACAGCAAGTTTAACCTAGCATCGTGTAGCTAGTACCTTAGCCGACGACTCAAGTGGATTCCAGTAAACGGCAATGGCATTATGTGCCACTTCTTCTATGCAACCTACAAGGCCCACGCTGTTTTTTGTGTCTGCAAAAATCCAGATAAGTCAAATTAGGGATAAATGCACAAAGAACAGATGGAACACACGTACTCGGTGTATTTGTGCATCGTCTAAAGAAGACATATCCCTAATTTGAAATTACAGTATTGCAGGAAACGATCATTTAAAGAAATTGAATAAGCTTAGTATGAGCTGCTGCATCTTACCTGCGATCATTATAGTCCATGCAAGCAATTCCTCGTAAGCACTTTATAAGCAATATTTATGAGGCCAAATGCCGTTTAGGAAATTATCAATATAGATTTTTATCTTACCTGCGTCGAGGATACGCTGTTTGACAGAGTGCTGCCTGCCGTGCCAGAACTGCCACGCCTTGATCTCGTCTTCCGGACTTTTCTCCTCGCGAAACATCAGCATAATCACGCTCTGAGGAATCATGGACAAGCACATGGCTAAGACTCATTTGTCAAATGTACGCATCACATCGTTATTTTAATTTAACACATGTGTAATAACCATATGGGCGTAAGTCGAAACTTTTTCTTTTCTTCCACATAGTATGTCGCGTCTTTTTCCGTTCCGCGTAAGCCTATATTATTTATCTTCGGCTTTGTCGGGCAGTACTTGCCCACACGATATTATACATTATATTTTGTATAAATCTTAAAAAAATTATTATTTTAGACTTGGTTGCTCGACTTTTATACTGGAATACAATCGTCAAAATATCCATTTATCATCATCATCATCGCCATCATCATCGCCATCATCATCATCATCATCATCATCATCATCATCATCATCATCATCATCATCATCATCATCATCATCATCATCACCATCATCATCATCATCATCATCATCATCATCATCATCATCATTATTATTATTATTATTATTATTATATGTAACAAAATGCAAAGCGATCGTGAAACTGGATTTTTCAACAAGAACTTTACATAAGTGCTTATGATGTAAGTAACATATACAACGAGTGTATTTCAATTGACCGTTTACTGGATGTGTTGTGCAAGTAATTTTATTGGTTGCGTACATCCATTCAGATTGATGTTCGTTGAAGAGGAAGGTTTTTCAAGTAGTTCTTTAATCAGAATTATATTTAAACATCTATGCATTTTACGTACTGATGTGTTAGATTTTGCGAACAGTGTTGAGCATACAGGCAAATGAAAAAAGGCAGTTCAAGCGACACGCATACAGCATATACAAGACTAAAACACTCGCACGCTCGTACAGAAAAGCGCTGCGTAAAAGAGCGTATCTGCACTGCAGTGAACGCGGGTAGGCGTAAAGAGACGGTATGCATTCGTATACTTGGTGCATGCATGTGCATAGGGTATATATCCTGCAAAGAGTATCGTGTATCGTCAGGTAAGCAACACGATACGCAACCAGACAAATTCGGTGAGCTCATGTCTACAAGCCAAGTGGCGCTATAAACGTGAGGTAAGATTTGACATTTTTTAATTTTTTTTTTAATTCAATTAAGTGGAAAATTGTTAGCAGTCGACCGAGCATGCGAAAAGGAAGTGAATTAGGCGACAATAAGAACAACGAAGCGTGTGTAGATTTGCATAGTTGGCGCGGCAGCAGGGAGTCCATAATTCTCACTTTCTGCTCTGTCTGTCTGCCTCTTTCTCTCTCTCTCTCTCTCTCTCTCCGTTCCCCCTTCCCCCTCTCCCTATCTATCTCGCTCGATGCCCGACATAGTTATTAGCCGAGTAGCCGAGACGTTATAAATTTTACGAATCATTTTATTACAAACGCAGTTATCATTCAGTCCGTGCGCGCGACATTATACAACGTCGCTTTAATCGCTCCAGTTCAGCAGCAACCTATGAACGAGAGACGAGAAAAAATTATGGTACTGGCAAGTAATTGAACGCGATAAATAGAAAGTGAAAATTGTCATTGAGCCTGCACGAGCACTGGTTAAATTGTTTTTTTTTCTTCTGAAATTTCGTCGCGAGCGCGTATCCGCAATACGTGTAGTGAAACTCTACCAAGGCAGGGTATGAGCATCCGGTCGAAACGCTGGAAAAATTGCGATCCCTCCCTATTCGCCAGATAGCAAACATACGCGCACGCACTTGCACGCCAAGTGATATAACTCGAGAAGAAAGCTGAAACTCGCGAAACTCGTAATCGAGAAAAATTGGTCGTTCGCTCACGCGCGCGCGTTAGTAAGAGAGCTTTATCGCAATGGAAATTGCTAACGGTACGGCGTTTAGTCGCCAATTAAAATCGACGCGCGAGCGAGAACAAACGACCTCATTCCACTGGTTTTTCTCTACCCCCCAAGCGAACCTTAAGCAGCTCGCTCGAACGCCGAGATCTCGCAGAGATGCCTGCACGCGCCAAACCTGCAAGTTTGCTTGACGCGCACGCACGTGTGCGAATGTAGCCTACCAGCTCGAGTCAGTGGAAAAACGCAAACATTCTATCGAGTCATTTCCATTGTCGAACATCAGAGGCACAGGGTACAATCGTAATAAAACTTTCCAAGCAGATTAGTGCTTGCTCTTTTGTAGCTAGCAGTTATATTGATTCACAGCTCTACTTAACGATCATTCTGCACATTTTTCTTATTGATTTCTCCGTTCAAGTGTATTCCAAGTGGATTTCAAATGGGAGATCTTGCTGGGCGACATACGCTCGGTCTAGCGCGCTTGCTAGCAAGCACCCGCGAACGAAGAAATAACCCGTGAAACATGTCTGCTGGAAGTGAACAGCAGCTACGCGACGAAAAAACTTGAGGAGATAAACGGAGGCATATTGTGGTCGTCGTGGCCGCCACGACTGGCAATCGCCGTTCCTCTGTCCACGCCAACAAGTATGCTTCGTGAACAAGCCAGGCGACGGAAGTAATCGCAGGAGTCGTTTACCTTGACGGTCTGTCCCGTTTTGAGTAGAGGCTTGTCCGGGTCCGGTACATAGTCCAATGTGATGCCGTAAAATTGGCCCTTGTTAATGTAGGTTATCCTATCGTCTTCTCGACGCTGCGAAGTACTGATTGGTGACTCCAGGTGGTATTTGAATCCATATGCCGAGTAGCTAAAACAAATTACAGATACATACATGTATATATCACACATCGTAAAGTGGCCGTGGCTTGCTATAATGTATCGAGAGGAGAGATCTACTAATGACTTTCACGTTGCCCCGTGGGGTTATGCCAATTTTTGCCGATCGCGAGAAATCTAAGAGTAGATCGTTAGTCGGGGCGTGCCATTGAAAAACTTGAAAAGAAAGCTCCCGCAGTGCAGCAATTATCATCTGTTTTAAGGACGCGCCCGATGACATTCCGTTTTCTGGTGACTTCTTATGGTTGTGTGTGTGTTTTTTACCATGTAAAAGTACTCCGCTTGATGTTTTATTCAGCTCCGCGAGATATCGAGCTGTAAACCGATTTAGATCGAGGCGTTGCGATGAAAGCTGCCGCGACGAAAAGCGCCCGCGCGAAAGTGTCATGCCTACCACACGCTACAGTAGTTTCCGTAGCGCAATATTACGTTTCAGGTGCGTATATATATATGCGTGTGTGCGCACGTATATATATATATATATAGTTTTTCTAAAAAAATAAATAATTGAGCAAAATAATAAATAAACAATGAAATTCTCTAACAAACGAAGAGAAACGTAATCGGCTAATAAATAAACTTAATTGTATCAAAGTAGCGAATTTTTTAATTATTTTATTTAAAAAAACTATAAACCAGCAATTTGTGTATGATGTAAACTGAATAATACAATAAAGAAAGTAGACATATAATTTTCAAGTTGGCGATTAAGTCCCACGTGAACCTGCACTTTAGATGAGATTGAATTTGTATTGAGTACGACGTATTTAACTCAGGAAGTTTGCTTATCTTAATCTCTCTGTGCACAGAAAAGACAAATTGGCGTATTTTTTATCCGAAGGAAGTGAGGGACTCTATCAGTTGCGATTGCTTGCTGTCAACATTAAACACCTCTGTTACCTTGCCTGGCGTATCCCCCCCCCCCTCTCGTTCCCTCTTTTTCTTTACTTTCTTGAACCATGTTCACCAGCAGCAGGACATCCCTCAACGGTAAAGTTTTAAGCACAACAAATCCATTACTTCTCTCTCTCTCTCTCTCTCTCTCTCTCTCTCTCGTTACGCGTCGTTTCAATAAAAATAAGTGTATTATATTGAGCCTCATATATTATTTGTTATTGTTTCATCAATGCTACATCAGGAGAAGCAGCGTACCACTCAGATATATACTTTGATAAGTGCGAGCGACGGCGCGGCGACAGTTGTTGGCGGGTGAACGTCCTGTATAGCCGCCTACTTTTTCCACCTTGTTATAGTGCATTCTATACGCACATGCCGCGTACTATGCTAATGCATTCATATGTATATACATTAAACCATACGCGAAAGACCTCGAGAAAATCTTCGATAGAGTGCGAGATTTCTTAATTGAGAATCACTATCCAAGGCTATTTTTGCAAATGAGCAATGTGTATAAAGACATAAAATAATAGTAAGTGCTCTATCTGTCAGTCTTTCTCTCTCACTTTCTATCTTTCCTTTGTACGCTTATTTGCATCATTGGCCACGGAAGTTCATCCAACAAAAAGATATCTATTAATCGATATCGTTATGCGTCGAGAAATAATTTGATAAATATACGCGTGTACGCGCGTAGATTCAGATAGCCAGCTCCGACTAGCAAATATTTTCTCCGTGCTCGGACAAGTATAGCAACGGCAAAGAAAAAGTAGTAGCTGCAGTCTTACGATCGAGCGGCAATCAAATACTTTCGAGCGGCCAATCATGTTGCTCTCATGCGGTAGCGAAATTCTTGCTCGGCGTTGCTATTATTTTAACTGTCTGGCTGCTGCGTAACGACATTAGCGGTTACAACTATTTCGTTGCTGTACAACCAAGCTATGTCACCGGAAATTAGGTCTACTTTGTTAATTTTTCATCGATTTATACAGGATATATATTGGTACTAACAGTTTTGGTATCTGAATTTTGTCGGCATCGTTTTGGCGGCCAAAGTCATGCCAGGGTCTCGATCTGGGCGGGGTTGAAGTGGAATTTGGCGTGGTTGCTCCTGATGACACTAAGGTTCCAGCAGTAGTTGTCCGTTGCACCTGGCTTGTTTGCGTGTGTCCTTGTTGAAGTTGCAGTTGAAGAGGCTGGTGAATCACGGCTCCACTTTCAAGGACTACTGCTGCTGTGGGACCCGTGCCACCCCCCGAACATAGCTCCGTGTAATCAAATGACGACTGTAATGCAGAAGCCAACGGTAAAAAACAAGCCATGCTTAGATGTAGCTTATTTTGCCAGAGCAGCTACGGCAATCAGCCGAAGTGCCTATGTAAACTAAATGTCAACAAGGAGATCACCACATCACGTGAGATTTGCGGAAGGGAGTTTCGTATTTGGCATTCTCGCAAAATTAAACAATATAACTACAATGCATGAGATTGCCATGACGTCAATTTTGCGATCGATATTGGTATTTAATATAGTGTCAATGTAAGATAATTGAATGAAGATATCGTACAGCTGCTTTGATGCGCGAATCTCGGACGAGCTTGCGATCACAGTGACGCACAGAATGTTATCGAGGAACGAGTGATATTTCAACCGTTGATTGGTTTCGGAGCTAAGGACGGTGGAACTAATTATTCTATCATTGATTTAGAAAACAAGGCGCAATAATGATTGGCAAACCTGGTGCAAGGCGGCAGGCTGGTGATGATCCTGTCTTGGCGTAACCGCGTCGGCGCCGATTCCCGAGTCGGGGCTTGGCAAGTCAACGGTGAGCACTTTGCTGCTACTCGACGATGAGCGGATGGCATGTGTGGTCGCGTACGAACTTGGAACCACCTCGTACCTCGTGTACGATGCCGTCGATGTAGGAAGAGACGTCGAGCCCGACGAGACTAGAGGCGCCAACGCATCGCCCGTGACATAAACTGCCGTGCTCTCTTGATGCAATCCCGCAGCCGAGCCGTTCGAGCCACTGCTGCCGTTGTTCGATGAACCCGAGGTATAGGAGGTCTGTAGTCGAGGGCTGCACGCGCCGTACGGGTCGTATGGGCTGCCGTACTGTAAAATGCCATAGTTTAGCAAACTGTCGATTCGGTATTGCTGGCTGAGCGAAAAACGTGCGAATTCACGTAGATACGACAGCTGCGTACCTGTAGCTGATGCTGATGATGGTGATACATGCCCGGTGGCGTGGGGCTGTCTGGCTGGTTCTGTTTGTGCCTCTTGGCTGTCGGCTGTTGTCCACCCCTCGATGAACTCAAATCTTCTGGTTCTCGCTTAACGCCAGCGATTGCAGCCTGCTGCGATTGCGGACTCAATGGCAATGGAAGTCCACCTTGCAAGCCTTGTCCAGGGCTATGCGATTGTTGATTGTACTGGTGGAGAAAATGGTGCAGCTCGCTGGAACTTTCTGCACCCGTCTCGAGTCTAGCCGTGGCGCCGCTCGGCGTTCCCTCTTGCACGAGCAGCTTTTGGCCCATCACTCCCCTATTCGTGTGCAAAAATCGAATGTGTTGTTATGCGAACGAGATGTAACTCGATCAGGCATGCATTATAGATTGCGGAAGTAGTATGCAAACTAATTTTTCGAATCCACTGATTTCCTAACATACAATTTTTCTCGACGATCATACGTAGCTTAGCTTCTACGACCCTCAGTTCACACGCGTGCGCGAATGCGCGCGCGCACGCGAGTCACGTATCGTGCGGATTAGCATTGCATTAGAAAAATCGAAGCGTATACAGAGAGCGAACGAGAGTGGATCCATTTCATTTAAGCCGAATTCATGAGAGCCCATAGCCTCGAGACTTGAGCAAGTTTCTTCTTAGCTGTGACTCGGTCGCAGGTGGCGACGAGAGATCAGGTATCGAGGATAGAGAGAGAGAGAGAGAGAGAGAGAGAGAGAGAGAGAGAGAGAGAGATAGAGAGAGAAAGAGAGAGAGAGAAAGAGATGGAGAGAAGACGCGAACATACAGTCCCTTATTGTATGGAAGCATCTGACCGTGGGGTAGGCACGGCGTTGGCAGTTTATAAGGGTGCCGCCATTGTGAATCCGTATTATCATGCTAAATATAACATGTTAACTACTTCGCTCAATACGTCCGTGTCCCGCACTACCACCTCGTACGTGTAAACTGGGGAGAAGGGATGACACGCCACCACTCAACTGTACCATCGTTCGCGGGCTCAAACAATTTTTATGAAACAGACAAGTGAGGGGGCAAAAATTTTATTGCCGTCCCAAGATTTTTATTAGAATAGAGCGAGAGAGCGAAAGAAAGAGAGAGAGAGAGAGAGAGAGAGAGAGAGAGAGAGAGAGAGAGAGAGAGAGAGAGAGAGAGGAGGCGTCTCTCCTGGAATCCGACGCAAACAAGCTTTTACTTTTCGTGAGAGAATGATTCTTTTCGTTCGCATGAAAGTGTATTTGCATTAATGATGATTAAACAAATATGGACGAATTTTGTCAATCATCGATATTTTAACATTCACTCAGCGTTAAAAGTTATCAAATATATTTAATTTCCATTAAGTATTAAATATTAAACCTATTCTCACCGCATGAATAAAAATTGTTTATTCTTGAGTGATAAGAAATATCAAAACATCAAGCGATAATTATTTATTATACATGATTTTCAACATCTTCATAAAATTTGACGATGCAGCTCGTGATAATAGCTTGAGCAAAAGATCCTTTCCCCGTCATAATTCGCACCTTCGTCATCGCCTCTTCTACAACTGTTCGACAACGTAAAACCCTCGAGCTTTCATCTTAAATCTTTATTGACATTTCTTTCTTTCTGACGTGCAAAGTGCAAACGTACAAGTTCAATGTGTATATACTACTCGAATAAGTCTGTCACATCAGTTGTACATATATAACTTCACTTGCGTGTTTAGCCATTTATATAAGAAAGTTTATAAAAAAATTATATATATGCATATAACAATTTTTTTATATTTTTTAATAAGTACCAATTGTTTTGCAGTGTCACGTTTGCACATAACTACGTCTACTCTACTTTTGTCGCTGCTTATTCATATCAAGTTTGTAAATCATTCATCTTTTCACATGTAGAGCACGTACTGCGAGATTTCGGACAGGTCCGAAAGGAAAAAATCCTCTTTCGAATTTTTCATTTCTAGTATCGGCTTGATAACAATCATTGTAATTAATATTCAAGTATCGTCGACTTCAAGTTTGCTTTGAATTTGCAGACAACTTGTAAGTTCTGACATGCAGAGGAAAACCAGAATTGTGCTAGCATCACCGCCATTGCATCGCATTTTTTATGCTAAAAGTTAGAAAAATTTGATTATTTCTAATAACTTGTGAAAATGAATATAAGTAACGAATATTTTCATCTAAAATGCTGAAATCCTCGCTCCTAAAAACAAGTGACTTTAAAAAAATAAGCATGCGATCCCTTATACTCTGGCGAAAAAACATTAAGTAGAAAAAGAACCATTTGTCAAAGGAAGAACTTGCGGAGTGGGAGGTCGAGGGCCGTAAAGCTTGTTCTGCGACCTGACCCCTTGACAGCAACCAGTAGCAGCACAGGTGAAAACCGGCAGTGGCGGGCAGGGATTTCTCAAACCGGATATATGTACACCGAAAGAGCGATGTGTTACGTAGTTTACAGTAAAGCCGCTTACAGTAAGTCCGGCTGCCTTATCGACTATACGTCTTGGCTAGATTTTCTTCTCCTCCTTTGAATCAAGAAATAAATATAGCGGGAAAAGTATGGAGAGATTGGCTCGAACGTGCGAGGTGAATTTTGTATCGACCAATGAAACCACAAGCGTATTTTCTCTTTCCGTCGATATATTTATGCAGTGTCATATGAAAAATCAAAAATTGACCGAAGTAAAATTTCTAAAATACATGACCGCTTGCTCGAATGGAAAGTAAGGGTCAAAACATGAGCGAGCAGCAGCATGCGTTAAATAACCTTGACGAAAAGCACTTAATGTTTTGACAAATTAAGAGTGACATTGCCGAGTTGTATGAATCTGGCGACAAGGATCAACGTAGAGATTAAACAAAAGTTGAGGGTTCAGCCATAGAAGTCGGCAAAGCGTAGCTGGCGTCCACAAATCGTAATACTTGGCGCACTAAAAACAGTAGCACATCTCATCGCGCGTATTGTGGGAAAAAATAAAAATTCCTCGTTAATTAAGTGCTTGCGGAACAACGACACCAGCTCTGCATACACACGTCGTTCCCAGAAGCGACGCTTTCGGGTTTGTCCAGTCTAGTCGTGTGGCACGCGCCGCTTCTTCGCGGAAAATCACATAGTGCGCGTTTATTGTAATGCCGCGCACACGAGGGAGAGAGAGAGAGAGAGAGAGAGAGATTGCCGTACAGTGATTACGTACGGCAGGGTTAAACGGGACGTGTGCTCACAAACGTAACGAGGGCGCACGTTAAAGTGTGTGAATTCCTCGTTTTACACCTCGACTTTTTATGTTAATCGCGCAAAAGCAAACGAGCGATGATTCATGGAACACACTCATACAAACATGTATATAGGTACATTATAACTACAAACTAGAGTTGTCGCTGAAAAATTGATTGTAAGTTCATTTTTCCGACAAGAACATTATTGAGACAAGCGAGTATTTGTTTATCTGGAGAAGCGAGTGAAAGAATAAGCTCATCATTATTCATTCCGTGCACAACGCGCGAGACCCCTTTTTGCCTATAGCGATATAACTCATCCGCTTCATCTCATTAAAATAGCGCTGCTACTGCTGCTGGCCTACGAAGCAAAAAATGAACCTGGCAAGAGATGAAAGTTGCAACTAGAAACAAATAAACTTTTATTTTTTACCCGATATACCTGCAGTGCGTATCATACAGTGATTGCAAGGGTAATTGATCCGACGCTTAGGCGTTCTGCGAGAGGGCCAGGTAGCAATGAAAATTAGATTAAAATCCGCGTAGCTCTTCTCGTTGGCGATAACTATCTCGCGAAGATTGAAGCGGGGATAAGAAGCAGCATCCCTCGTTGTCGAACAACGCTTCGGGCGATAGCGTTTTTTGTACTGCAAACGTTGCCCTTGCCGCTGCTGCTGCTTTCGAATTCGCATCTGTTGAGCGCGTCCTCAAACAGTAAATTACAAAATATGCTAAGCGCTCGATATAAATCAAAAGTGCGACCAGCAATCCTCTCACATCAGACCCCCGAGCGAATGATTGGGGTGCCAGCGAGCGGAATAGAGCGAGTTAGTACAACAGTTTGCAAACCGAGCAAATGGACCGGAAGGCACCGGTACTCCTAACGTAGACCATCCAATAAGATTATGTACGGCATTGAGAAAGCTAGTGCGCCCTTCCTACAAGGATGTATTATATTCATATTTATATTGACAAAAATTCTGCAAATGAAGGCTATGGCGATATGCTCTTAAACAACTTTGTAAATAAGTTATACTCGGAAAATTTACGTAGTGAACTATTCCTATTAAGCTTCACAGCTTAAATTTTATTTATTTAAACTATCAGATTTGCAGTCGCGGGGTAGAACATTATCCAAATTTTAATGTAACACGTGATGAATGCACATGTGCTCATTTTCGTCTACCGATGCTTTTGAACAAGTTTAGATTTTGTTTAAAAATAAAGAAGTCACTTTCATGATATCAAACAGTCGACTAAATAGAAACGTAACGAGTGTATTGAACGACAAAAGCAAGTAAAATTTACTACGGTTGACACCCAATTCGACCGAGTTGAAAACATCAACTCGGTCAACATTTTTCTATATTAACGAACCATACAACGCGTGACTTGACAACATCTCGTGACTGATCGGCAATCGCTTGTTACTCGAGTGAAGAAAACAAGGAAATTTCAGGCTGTCGACATATCGTCGCGCGCATCTGAGCTCAGCGATCGTCGTCCTCCTCACGAGCCTTTAAGTTATTGAAAGGTTACGGACACTTTCACGATATTTTGTAAAATTCTATATCGTCTTGCCTTTGTTGCTGTAGCATTTGTTTGCAGTGGACAATTTATTGGCATCTTTGTTGGCAATTGTCAAGGGCTCTCGAGATCCGTATCCTAAAGTTTCGTAATGTGTATGCGTGGGTTGCTGACCACTCTAACAAGTTTACTTGTTGCACATAAATTCAAAGGTGCGCGCACGCGTACAGCGTTCCCGGAACGTCACACGCGCGCTACTAGATCCTTTTATGAATAATAAATTTGTGGCCATCCAGTGAACTTGGCCGTCTGTTAACTGCCGACTCACTTATTTTCAGGGCTTTTTTCGGATGAGTATGCGTAATAGCTTATACGAACGTTCTTTCTATTCTTTGATATAAATCTTAACTGTGAGTACGCTTTTACGTGGATTTTATGACTCTCGGAAGTACACAGTAGAATAAAACAGACGGAAGAGGCTTTCATACGGCGAAATGATAATTGATTTCTCGATAAAACAATATTAATTATTACTGCTTGTCGTCCCGAAATACATATACATACATGCATACACGCACACATACTTATTTATGTATATATTTGTTTATGTATAAGAGTAATGAACTCACGTAGACCATATCTCGTGTGTAGGTGGTAATTTGACGTCGCTCGGCTTATCAGGCAATTTAGTACTGTAATACTCGTAGACGTAACTAGCTGCAGGATCGTCGGCCGGATGGCCACTAACCGCGGTGACCTGGTGCTGCTGTTGCAAATTGAGCATGGCCGCGGTGGCGACCGACAGCGGATGCTCGCAGTAAGTTCGCCAGTCGCCCTCCATGCCCTGCACCTGCACCTGCACCGCGGCGACCCTTTTCTGCACCTCTGGGTCGTTGCTCACCTCTGCTGTCGCTTCTCCGCCACCACTTTCACCGTTACCCGTTGCTTGAGGCTCACCAGCTTCGCCAAGCTGCTGTTGTTGTTGCTGCTGCTGCTGCTGCTGCTGCTGCTGCTGCTGCTGCTGCTGCTGCTGCTGTTGCTGCTGTTGATGCTGCTGCTGCTGCTGCTGCTGCTGAGTACCGGTCGAATCGTCGTCGTTGTCCTCGGAACGGGCGTAGCTGGTCGGCCCGTCCTCGACTCCAGGATCGTTGTCGCTTCGGCCACGCCTTCTGTAACAGAGACAGCGATCGATCAATGAAGAAATTAAGAAATACTCTCTCAAGTTAGTTAAGTTACACTTTTGTTATCGTGAATGTCACGTTGTATGCATAATTCATTAAATATTGCTATTTTTATCTATGGTAAATAAAGATTACCATTCATTCATTCATTCTTTTCTTCTCCCACTTTGGCAATCAAAACGGTGTGTCAGGCTTGCTGCTGTTTCAATGTACGTACACCTGAGGTTTTAACGGCGCACGCACGTAAACATTGCCATGTGAATTGATTGAATGATGCGGTTTTTCGATTTTGGCCGTCACCAGCTCAAAGCTCGTATAGTAGATACCGTTTAATGTCAATTGCGTAAGGAAAAATATTGAATTCGAAGGAAATATACCGCGAGAAATCAGCGTCAGCTCAGTTGAACTTGAAGACCGATAGCGCATTTTTCCTCCGTTCCCATGCTGTGCGTATTAGTTCGAGAAAACAGCAACGACAATTACCGAGACTTTCTATGTCCCCGATAGACATCATTAGACGGAGCTTCTTCGGCTCCTTCTGCTGAAACTTTCTAAGGTGATATCGAAGCGAGCAAGTTTGTGGCAACTTTTGCTAAGCGAAAAAAGCAGATGCGTAATTGTTTTCGTTGCGGCAAAAATTAGCACGTAACCCTTCCGCGTCGACTTTCATATGTCTCTTGTACAACTCAGAAGAACGATATCATTCGGTTATCCGAAGAACCAAATAAAGGCGCTTACTACCATGATTAATTATTATAGACCCCTTCGGCTTCCACTAGCGTTATAGTCATCAATTTATACAAAGGCGGCAGAGTCTCGATGCCGTATGCGCACATACAAACTTTATCTGCTCCCCCCTCTCGCACTCTAATTTATGCATATCAAATCAATCTCTCTACCTGTGGCGCAGCTGGCCGTATATATATGCGAAAGAAGACTTTGGTACCGATAATGAGAGGCATCGCCTTTCCAGTTCAATCCTGTGCAAATATTTTTCTCTACCCGAACGACTCTGTTTACTCAGGCCACGCCACCATGCTCATTGTCCTAGCGTGCTCTTCGGGCATCATTGTCGACTGAAAAAGAGACAGAGGGAGAGAGAGAGAGAGAGAGAGAGAGAGAGAGAGAGAGAGAGAGAGAGAGAGAGAGAGAGAGAGAGAGAGAGAGAGAGAGAGAGAGAGAGAGAGAGAGAATGGCAATGCTGCAGCATCCGGTGCGCGTCGCTTGCCCACCCAATCGTCTATTCAGACGGTCCTCCGTGTCCTGTTTCTTTATTTTTTCGCCATCTCGTTCATAGTGGACGTATGTCTTTTAGCGAGGCTTTTCACTAACCGATCATTAGCGCCGCGCTTTCCTAGGAAGGGAAATAAATTCATCAGCATCTGAATATGTTTTTCAATTAACAAAGATTTAAGCATAGCAATTGGTAATTGTGCGTTAATTGGGAAGATTTCTTTGTCATGCAATTGCTCATTTGGTCTCTGTGGGAATGCGCTAATACCTACGCGTAAATGCTTTTTTCACCGATTTGATCTCAACTCGTCATCGTCAAGGGATTTTCAATGGCACAATACGGCCTGCAAAAAACTATACGGTACAACTCTTGCGCACTGCAAGTGGAAAACAGATGCTTACAAATTGCTCGATTCTTTGAAATTTAATGTTTGAATTACGCACGAGGCTCAAATCGCACACAGTCGTTTAATTACGCACTTTACGGCCGAGATAATCGCTGATCAAGCTTCGATCTCGAAAAGGGAAAAACGTACGCATGCGTGTTCTCCGAGAAAAGCTGAAAAAGTAGACTCTCTAACATGGAATTCCGAAAAGCGCATGGCTCGCAGATCTATTGCTCGGCGTACGTGACTTGGGAGTCTGCACTGTGCACCATCCGATACCACAAAAAACTCATCGATTTCATTATAGGCCCCCAGTAGAGACTTGTTCGTCGAAGCGGTGCAAGTTATCCCTCTTACTTCTCTCGCCGTTTCTTTCTCGTATAACCTTTGATTTCTCCGAATATTTGTTAATTAAGAATCACGTCTCTGTCTCACGCTGACCGCCATGTGAGATGGAAGTACAAGATAGCCCAGGACCGACAGCGTCCATCAGATGAGAATTCTTGCTGTCACTCAAGTGTATTTTCAAAACGAATTCCTATATCGCGGCGGAAGATCCAATCATAATTATGTCTGCGGCGGCGGAACTCGCCGTATTCTACAGAGCTACTCGTAGTAACACAGCTGGCATTCATCGACTGGAGTGGACGCGCGAAGTAGCCATAGGTCGGACTCGTTGATAGGCCCGTAAAGCAGTCAATTAGCAATAACGTAACAGGTCGTAGGACGTACGCGAATGAAACGTTAAAGTTTTTTCGATGCACAAGCTCGCCAGTCCGTCTGCAAGCTTGACTGCGATGAGCGCGACGAGCGAGAAAAGAAGCAAATTAAGAGCAGCTGCCGTGACGTATGGTAGCATCAGGTATTCAGCTCCACGCGGCTGCCGTCCACGCGACTCTTCGCCCTTTCGCATATGCACTTGCTCGCGTGCGAACGCTTGCGCATTTTAATAAACTTGACGATTTGCGGCCTCCGACAGCGCCCACGCGCCTCCACTTTTTCGCCACGACCGCCAGACGCGTGGCACGTGTCCGAGTAAATGCTAATCTTCGCAAGTTGTTTAGGAAGCTATTGCCAAGTGACTTATTCATCGTTCAACATTTCTTTTTCACCCGAGCGCCAGCACGAACGAATAGCCCTATAGACGCCTCGTGGAACGGACGCGCCGGCATCCGTACTGTAGCTTGCATTATTGTTTATCGCGAAACGCGCTGTAAAGCTCACTTGGAACTTCACAGTGAATTTATTGCACGAGTGTTGATATAACGTCAGTTGTGATACTTTACATGCTGTTTCTTTGTGCAAAGAGATGAGCATTTGTGAGCACTCGAGCAAAGCCCCTATTAATATTTAATAATAAGATTCTCCTCGACCGCCACTTTCTGGAACCTAACACATCCATTCCGATCGACTTCTCGTTATGGTTAATCCAAGTGCGAGCGTCCATCGATCACGCAAAAAACAAACTAAGAAAAAAAGAAAATAAGAAGGAAGAAGCCTGATCGCGCGAGCGCAGAGTAATTAGCGTTAAGCTTGGTGTTCGCTTGCTCTGCATAATAAAACTGCATCACGTGCAGAAGCGTGCACTCGTGCAATTTGTCGTCGGTAGTCTAGTAAAGCTCTACCTCTTCTTATCGGTCGTTTCAGCTCGTATTTGCATTATCGTGCGGTATTCTGCGCCGATGCTTGATTGATTAATGATTCACGCAGCGAGTAAGTACATAAATAAATAAACGCGCAACTAATAGATCACTTATTTTGTCCTTTTATTCTCGTCAATATGCACTTGCGCGTCATTATGTTTTACGGGTTCAATGCCGGAAATTGTTAATTATTTATGAGCTTCGTCAGCTTATACTTTGGCTGATAGTTTAATCGGGACTCGTTTGCAATGTTGTCCCGATCAGCATTGTGTCATCGATGAAAATTCGTTAAGCGTGGAGCGGGAATATATACAGCGCGCGCGCACATTACGTATTCCTCGAAGACATTGGACACGCTCATCGGGACAAAGCAAACGAAACGCGTGAGGGTTGTCTTGGCTGACTTTGATGGAACGACGAGGGTCGTAGGAACCGTACTTACCCCTCTCGATCTCCCCGTCTCTCTCTCTCTCTCTCTCTCTCCCTCTCTCTCTCTCTCTCTCTCTCTCTCTCTCCCTCTCTACCTCTCTATCTCGCTTGCATGTGCACTAGTCTCTCTCTTCTCAATACATATGGAATTGAATGTTTAAATCGTTAAAAACGGGGAAATCACATCGATAGCGTCCGTCTGCGGCCTTGCTTTCTACTCGTCAAGGTTACCCAACTTCGTGACTCTAAATCGTACTATGCTAACTTATCGCACTGATTGAATTATTAGTCACAAATTGAGCTAGCGTTTCCGGTAAAAATATCCGACATGATTATCTCTTGCAATACCTATGTTCCATCGTGTTTAGTTGGAGAAAAGAGATTGCATTTGCTGTAAAACAATGTGCCAGTATTGAATATGAGACTAAAGATAAGTTGGCTAAATACTAATATGTCGGGACTGAAATAGCTAAGCACAATGCTAAAGATTCGAGTAATTCTTCGAACAACAACATGAGTGCTCCTTGGCTGATCGTACTCCGATATAATTTATAAAGAGACTGCACTGTGTATCATTCCACATGAAGCTTGAGTCCAGTCGGGATCTCCAGACGAAACGCTTATTACCTTCTGCCGTCTTTTTCTTGCTACAGCACCCGTCGCCAAAGCATTTGCAATTTCTATAAATCAATCAATAAAACAGCTCGCTAAAAGCAAAGAGATATTTTTCAGGATCCTTTATTTGCCTTTTAAGGTATAGGCCAAACCAGTATGAATCTGGACAGATTTTTAATTTACGTGTGCTACAGCGGCATGGCACTGTAACATCACGTCCCTGCTACGAAACAGTGAAAGTTCATAGATATTAGTCATTGCCGAACGGCGAATCCATTTTACAACGTCTACGCTGTGCCCAAATGAGCTAATTCTTCAGCTCTTTGGCTTTTCGTGCCGTCCGATTGGTCGCCTTTGACTCTTTCGTAAGCACTAATCGGAATTGACTCAGCGTGTACATTGATCATGCCGCTTTGATGACATCCTTTGGCCGGGTATAACCGATACGAGCTCACAACAAACAGAAATGTACAACTTGTCAATTAGTCCAAAGAATGGAATTAAGTATTATTTAAAAAAAATAATCGTAACGAGTATTGGAAATGTATTTGACGATGATGCGTCTCACGTTATTTAAGAAAAATAGCTTTCGTAAGCAGTTCCGCATGGGACAAACTACCTTTTACGGGCAAAATAGGAGGGTTACTTTTGAGTGCACCTACTCACATGGCACAGGGCAAGG